TTTTCTTAAAAACTAGCAAACAGGGTCTTTTTTAGTCAGATTCTTAAGACTAAGTTGAGCATGTTCTTTATGAAATAGTGGCCATAAATCATGAATTCCACGATGCACATCTCCACTAAGATGCGTCTCAAGAGTTAATAGAAGATTATCTAAAGACTCCTTACTCAGGCCATCTTTAATGAATTGTATTTTATCTTCACGGTTTATAGATATCATTCCTAAAGAACAACATTGTGCATTACATGTACATCTGGCACATCGATGACAGACTTTTAGTCATTTTGCACGATGTTTCTTTGCAAAAGTGCTTTTACCTGTTCCAAGCATGTGTGAAATTAAGGAATTAGAGGACTTACCTGATAATCGGACCTTTGCTTCAATCAACCAGCGAATATCTTCAGGAATTTCATGATTCATTAACAACCTCAATCTTGCACATCTAGCACGGTAAATTTTTGTAATCGCATTCTGAGGCAGAGCAGGAAAATACTTTTTCAATTTTTCAAGATTAGTGTCCATTTTTAAATGAGAATTGGAAGAGAGATTCAAAGAATTGCATAAATATATACACAAATATCAGTTATTATGGGAAACTGAAAGAACCGACTTAAGTCACGGAGTACCGTTGTCTGCCATTTGACTAGGGTGAGAGAAACTAGCAAAAATCACTCAAAAATAAACACAAAAACAACGTGAGGGAGAAAAAAATAATCAACCTTTATCTACAAGATCATTCAAACCAGTTGATTCATTTTCACTAGGAAAATTATCAAAGTAAGCTTTCAAACGATGTCCATTTTCCTTGAAAACATTGTCATTCATTGAATTCTCAATATCAAAGGCCCCATAAGGATACACATGTTTCTTAATAAATGGATTGCCCCATCTCGATCTTAGCTCTCTAGGGAATAAATGGAGTTGAGAATTATAAAACAAATCTTTTTTACCAGTATCAACTTTTTGACAATTTTCACAAGTTTTGTAGAATACATGCGTGTCTTTGAACATGGTGGGCCAATAAAATTCATTTTGTAAGATTTTTGCAGTTGTTTTTTTTACGAGAAATAACTCCCACATGCTTCAGAATGACAAAGTTTAATGATACTACTTATCTCATTATCGGGAATGAATCTTTGAAATATTTGATCAGGACAATATTTGAATAAGTTAGGGTCATCACAATAAAAGTTCTTCACTTCGTTTAAAAACTTCTCTTTGTTTTGGGTACTCCAATCAGCTGGCAAATCTTTTAAAGTAAGGAAATTGATATTTTTATCATACCAAGGCATTAGACTAAGAGAAAGTAAGGATTGATCACAAAAGTAATCTTCGATTGGTGTGATGTCAGATGTCAAATTTGTTGTCACTTTTGACAAAACATACGCATCAATATTTTCGGTGCGTTTTTCATTCGTGATTTCTTCATTAGAATAAATCATTTGCAGATCTTTAGATTCATCTAAATTATTTTTATTTAAAGTAGATTCAAATTGATCATAAACTAATTCATCAATATGATCTACTTCTTGTAAATCATTATCATCTCCAAGTTGCTTGCAAATATTAAAAATATTCATCTCCAATGTCATGTTTCCAAATGATAGCTTCATCAGTCCATTCCTATAATTAATCAATGCGTTAGAAGTTGTAAGAAACGGACGTCCTAAAATAACAGGAAATTAATTATATGCTTCAACAGGTTCTGTGTCCAAGATAACAAAATCCACAAGATAAATGAATTTATCGACTTGTACTAACATATCTTCAACTATTCCTTTAGGCACTTTTACAGATCTATCGGCAAGTAAGAGAGTTACAAAAGTTGGTTTTAACTCATCTAGATTGAGACTTTGAAAAACTGAATATGGAAATAAATTCACACTGGCTCCAATATCAAGTAAGGCTCTTTCAATTTTATGTTCTCTAATAAAGCAAGAAATTGTAGGACAACCAGGGTCTTTATATTTTAAAGCATTATTATTCTGAAGAATGACACTTGTTCGGCCAACAAGGCTTTCTTTTTCACATTCAGTTTCCTCTTCACAGTGCATAGATTTTTCAAAAATTTAGCATAGGAAGGAACCTGTTTAATAGCATCCAGCAAAGGTATATTGATTCTTACCTGTTTGAAAGTTTTAAAGATTTTAGAGTTGTGATTGACTTTCCTTTGTTTGGTCATGGCTTGAGGAAATAGAAGTATTGGCAGGGAATCAGTCGTTTCTTTGCAATTTTCAGATTCAATCCCTTTCTTACCCTCAGAGATTGACTCATCATCTTTCTCACAAGGTTCAAGAGTGGGTTTTTCAATAACCTTACCACTACGAAGAGTAGTGACTGATTTGACTTGATCCATGTGTTGGCTTTCGGAACTACTTGCATTTGCATTGTATTGCCCCTTAGGATTTTGTTGTGGTTGAGATGGAAACTTACATTTCTCTTGGAAACTGAGAGCAGATATCAATTTTGCAAGAGTATCTTTAAAATCTATCATGTTTTGAGCAAGTTGAGTAGTGATTGTCTCTTGCTTTTCAATAAATGCATGCAATGTTTCCTCAAGATTTCATCTAGGAGGTGGAGCATAAGGAGGTGCATATCCATGAGAATTTTGGAAATTGTGGTATGCTTGAAATGGTGGTTGTGAAGTTTGTACATTGTTATTATCACTCTTTCAACTGAAATTTGGGTGATTTCTCCAACCAGGATTGTATGTTTACGAGTATAGGTTGTGATTGGCCTTTTGAAAACTATTTAAAGCATGAGCTTGTTCATGTAAACATTCCTTAATAGAAGGCAAGGTTAGACAATTAATGGTTGGGTGTTCATTTGTTTTACATATTTGACATACAATGTTTGTAACAGATTTTAATTGACCACTCTTTTTCAATTCTAGTGCCTCAACTTTTCTAGCTAAAGATGCAAACTTGGCTTGCAGGTCATGATCTTCCCTAAGGTTGTACATACCTCCACTAGATGTATGAGGTTAAGTTTTACTCGGTGCCTCATAAGTACCCGCGGTGTCCCAATTTTGAGCATTTTCAGCTAATAAGTCTAAGTACTCCATTGCTTTATCAGGGTCTTTATCTTCAAAAGTTTCATTGCACATCAATTCAACCATTTGCCTATCTCTAGGTGTTAACCCTTCATAAAAATGTGAAACCAATCTTCATGTTTCAAAACCATGATAAGGGCAAGTATTAAGCAAGTCTCGATACCTATCCCAATATTGGTAAAATGTTTCTTCTGGTTTTTAAGTGAAAGTGGTGATTTTTCTTTTGAAAGAGTTTGTTCTGTGAGATGAGAAAAATTTCTTTAAAAATTGTTGTTGCATTTCATCCCAAGCACGAATGGATCCTGGTCTCAAATTTTATAGCCATGTTTTAGCTTTATTTTTTAATGAAAAAGGAAAAAGCTTTAATCTGATGGTGTTCATACTACAATTTGAGTCATTATATGTGTTGTAGACCTCCTCAAATTCCCTTAAATGCAAGTATGAATTTTCTAAATCTAAGCCATGAAAAGAAGGTAAAAGTTGAATCAGTGGCGGAATCAAGGGGAGGCCAGTAGGGGCCTGGGCCCCTGCAAAACTTTTTTTTTTAAAATGTAATAAATAATAAGTTTTTTAATATTAAATTATTATTTTATTAGTTATGTTTAACTTTAATATGCTATATATCCATATATTCCTATGCAATGAAAAACAAAAGCTTTTCAATTAATTCCTTTCCTGTATTCTCTCTCTCTCTTCCTTTTATGTAAACCTATCTCTTTCTTTTTTGTAAACCTAAAGCTTTTCAATTAATTCTTTTCCTTTACTCTCTTTTTCTCTTCCTTTTCTATAAACCTATCTCTTTCTTTTTTGTAAACCTAGCTGCAAAAATTAACAATACAAAGCATAAAAGTTAAAACAAAGTTGCTACCAATTGATTCATTGAAACAACAAGGTAATTAGTAATTTAATTTATTTTATGCTTGTTAAGAATCTAATAAATACATATATATAATTCTACTATTTTTTTTAGATCTATTAGTTTTATCACTTTTTATTTCTTGTTATAATGAATGTTGTTTTTTCTCATTAATTGGATATTTTATGGGTTTGTTTGTTTTTATTATACTTGGATTTTCTATGTTTTGTTTTTAGCAGAGCCACTAAAATTATCAATTTTTTTCTCACGTATACCTTACTATCACCAGGTTCAATATACAATTAGACACGATCTTTCTAGCTAAATTGAGTTCTTTGAATAGCGTATACCCAACTTTGATTCAGTGTAAGTTTTCTTTTTTAGGAACCGGTAATCCCATTTTTTATGTTAGATATACTTTTATATATCAAGTTTTTTTAATATGTTAATTTTGCTTTCATATGTTAGTGTGGTTTACGTGTAAAAAATTATTTTTGGTTCTGATTATTGCTTCAACACATTGTTATTTGTATTTATTTTTTAAATAGAAAACAATAAAAATTTATGATGTTTTGATTTAGGTTAAACCATGAACAAAATAAGAAGAATTGATTCCTTTTTTGAGAAAAAGAGGAAAAATATTGATAACTCACAGCCTAGTGAATCAACTTAAATGTGTAATGTTGAAGTTATGGTTGAACAACCCCAATGTGCTTCAGTTTATGAAGAACCTGCATTAATTAATGAGCAACCTCCTACTACAATCGACATTGGTCATCTGATTAGAGATCCAAGCAATCGTCCTCAAATTTGGGAATACCCGGTTAATCAACAAGATGAAATTAGAAGGGCATACATTAATTTGGGGCTATATCAACCTTTGATGTTTGAATATCCACTGACTGGTAAAAAACATCCTCGTCGATTTCAATCTCATTGGTTCAAAAGTTATCCATGGCTTAAATATTCAGAGAAAAATACTGCATTTTGTTTTCATTGTCATTTATTTTCAAATAAGTCATCTGGAAAGCCAGGATCAGACACTTTTACTGTTAAAGGATTCAATTGTTGGAAGAAAGTTAATGATGGGGAACGATGTACTTTTTAACTCATATAGGAAAAGGTCCAAATTCAGCTTATGGATTTGCTACCAGGTGCTTGGAAATTTTGAAAAATCAGTCATGTCATATTGAGAAGGTAGTTAAGAGGCAAACTACTCAAGAAATTCTAAATAATCGACTACATGTTAAAGCTTTAATAGATATTGTTCGTTGGCTTACATTTCAAGCATGTGCTTTTAGAGGACATGATGAACGTCCAAAATCAAAAAATCGAGGTAATTTTCTTGAAATGTTGGAACTTTTAGCATCATATAATGAACAAGTAGGTGCTCTTGTTTTGGATAATGCTCCACAAAATGCTAAATACACCTCGCATCAAATTCAAAAGGAAATTTTGCATGTCTTTGCTAGAAATGTTCAGTCTTCAATTCGTCATGAGATTGGTGATGCAAAATTCTGCTTAATTATTGATAAAGCTCGAGATGAATCTAGAAGAGAGCAAATGGCCCTTGTTATTAGGTTTGTTGATAGAAGTGGATTTATACGAGAATGATTTTTGGATGTAGTTCATATCAGAGACACAACTGCTTCAACTCTTAAGAAAGAGATTTCCTTTGTTTTATCTCATCATAATCTTGATGTTCAAAATATTAGGGGCCAAGGGTATGATGATGCTAGTAATATGCGTGGAGAGTGGAATGAATTGCAAGTTTTATTCATTAATAATTGCCCTTATGCATATTATGTACATTGCTTAGCTCATCAATTACAATTGGCTTTTATTGCTACAGCTAGAGAAATTTCTGATGTTCACACTTTTTTTCAGAACTTGATTTTTATTATTAACATTGTTAGTGCTTCTTGCAAGCGTAATGATGAATTATGGCTTTTCAAGCAGCTACAATTGAACATTTAATTGATATTAGTGAGATTGAAACGGGTAAAGGAGTTAATCAAGTAGGTGGTTTGCAACGACTTGTAGATAGCAAATGGAATTCGCACTTCAAATCCATTTGCAGTTTGATAAAAATGTATGGGGCAACTTGCTTGGTTCTTGAAAACATCTCTTTAGATGGATCTACTTATTCTTAATGTGGTGATGCGGCCTTTTCATTTAAGTTGCTAATGTCATTTGATTTTGCATTCATCTTGCATATAATGAAGAATGTTATGGGAATTACTGATGTGCTTTGCCAAGCTTTGTAACAGAAATCTCAAGACATTTTAAATGCTATGTATTTGGTGACTACCACAAAGACTTTAATTCAGAAGTTAAGAGATGATGGCTGGGAAACTCTTTTAGAAGAAGTGACATCATTTTGTAAGCATCAAGACATTGAAGTTCCTGATATGGATGCTTGTTTTTCTAGTGTGGGACAATCTCGCTGTAAAACAAAATCAATAACAGTTGAGCATCACTATCGAGTTGATATATTTGCAGCTATCATTGATCAACAGTTGCAAGAGCTAAATAATAGATTCAATGAGCAAACGATTGAGCTTCTTAAGTTGAACGCAGCTTTAGATCCTAAAAATAACTATAAATTATTCAGTGTTGAAGATATATGCTTACTTGTTGACAAGTTCTATCCTAAAGACTTTTCTAACCAAGAAAAAACTCATTTGAGATTTCAGTTGCAGCATTATGAGCTTAATGTGCCCAATCATCCAAAGTTAAAGAATATGTCATCGATTGCTGATTTATGTCGAGGATTGGTTGAAACTGAAAAATCAACAATTTATCCACTCATTGACAGGTTGATTTGACTTATTTTGACTCTTCCTGTTTCGACAGCAACAACTGAATGAGCTTTTTCAACAATGAAGATTGTTAAAACAAGACTTCGCAATCGGATGAAGGATGATTTTCTTGCAAATTATTTGATTGTCTATATAGAAAAAGAAATTGCTGAAAGATTCATAATTGATATGATAATCGATGATTTATACTCCATGAAAGAACGACGAGCACAATTAAATTAAATATGTAAGATTCATTTTTTATTATTTTTTACTTTATTTCTAAGTTTTATCAAACATAAATAATGTATAGCTTTAACTAATGTTTCTTATATATTTTCTATATTTATATTTGATAGGTACAAAGACCAGCAAAATTAAAGTGATGAATACATTATGAAGATGACATTAACTTCATAGCTTTGGCTCAATGTGGTATTGCTTTAAACTTCTTATTTTATACAAAGATCATCATATGTTTGTAGTTACTTCTTTGAATAAAACTAAATTATGTAATTTTTTTATTGTTACAATTTATATATAGTAAATTAAAAATAAATATCCTTTTATATTATTTTGGCCCCCCTGTTAAATAATCCTACCTTCGCCCCTGAGTTGAATAATGTCTGGTTTAAAATTAAAATGAGATGCATTAGGAGGAAAAACTATGCATGATGGTGCACTTGTTATTATGAGATTCATGTGGTCTCTAAGTGTTCTAACACAGTTATTCTTATTATTTTTATTATAAAGTGATTGATTATCTTCTTCGGCCATATTTTCTGAAAATGATGAGGATACCTTACAAAGTCTACCACTTAATGTGCGTGACCACACTCTCATATACATATAGGAATAGAATAAAAGAAAGAAGAAAACAAAAGAAGAAGAAACAAGAGACAAGAAACAAAGTTATATACAATAAAAGTGAAAAGTGAAAATAAAATAAATACAATAATAGAACTTAACTCCCCGGCAACGGCGTCAAAAACTTGACATGACTACAAGATTGATGTTTTCTCCCAAGTGCAGGAGTGTCGAAGTAATAATAACCCGACAAGACCGGGATCGAACCATAGGGAGGTGAATTGTACAAATTATAAACAACAATTATAAACAACAACAATAGTAATAACAAAAATAACAATAACAATAATAATAATAATAATAATAATAATAATAATAATAATAATAATAATAATAGTAATAATAGTAATAATAGTAATAATAATAGTAATAGTAGTAGTGGTAGTATTAATAATAATAATAGTAGTAATAATAATAATAATAAAGAAGAAGAAGAAGTTGATGAGAACTTTGAGATGGAAGATTATCGTAAGGATTAAACAATGATAATAACAAATGTCAAGGTTAGAGGTTCCACTAATGGCATGTCAAACAAGTATAGTATAAACTCTTATTATTCAATTGGAAACCACACACAAAGGAGGTTCTAATTTGATTATAGATTGTTAACATGATTACATTAGTCATCTTATTCGATTAATGCTAAACTTGTAAATCTCGTCAAGCATTCATGATTATAACTTATGTTAACAATAAATCAAGTTTCTTTCATAGCTCAGGTGTTGGTTGTACCATACAGTATGGGCTATGAAAGTGCCAAGCATTTGTTGTACCAAGTGTTATGTAACATAAATCAAGATTAGTCATTTAACAAGCAAAGTATTAAAAAGTGAACAAGATAACAAATACAAAACATGTTAGTATCAAACATTAAAGTCCATATTAAGTTTACACTATACTTATTCTTAAACCATTAGTGTAACCTTTTCACCTTGACATAATAAACTTAACTAAACATAATGAAAGAAATAAAAATAAATAAACAAAATAAGAATATAAATAAGATAAAAGTTAACTAAGTAAATGAAAGGAAATGAAAGGCATAAACTTGATATTAATGAAAGCAAAGCATAAACATTACAAAAAATACAAAGAGAGAAAGCAAGAGCATGATCTTGATCTGGAAAACCAAGATGCCTAAATGCATGACAAATACCTACTTTTATAGGCCAAAATTAGGAACTATTGATTTGATGACTAATTGATAAGTAGGTGACCAACTCTTGACTTGGTGACAATCTTTATCTTTTCTTATCTGCCCAAAACGTCATTGATAACGTCAAAATTGGAACCACTTGAAAACATGAAAGTTGTAGAAAATTGTCTCAGCCTTTTTGTGTAAAAAATTCAGATCATGTCAATTTCTAGAACTCTAGATATGGCCCAAAAACTGAACAGTGCTGGGGCTGGAAGACAGATTCAGATTTCTTTGTTGTTGCTCCAATTTGGACTTAAAAATTATCTTTTTAAGTCTTAGGCTCCATATAAAAGTTATAGCTTTATATCTTACATTTCCATCCATATAAAGTAGACATAAATCTGAGATTTACAGCTCCAGATATGACCCAATTACCAAATAGTATTCCGGTTTGGATTGCACTGGCATCTCTTTTCTAAGTTTGGCCATCTCTTTCTCCTTTCAATTTCAGTTCTTAAATTCATCAATCAATCCTTTCATTTATGTGATAGGCCTGTATTTAAAATGAACATTTACCATAAATTAAAGGTATCTTATATTATTAGATATATTATTATAAAACATGTTTTAGTTAAGGAGTTATTGATACTTCAAGTGCAAAATGATGACATAAAACCTTGATAAAAATGTATTTTTAAGTACTAATCAGCTCGTTTGGTTGCGCGGGGGTTCACCCAACAGGAAGGTATAGATTATTCATAAACCTTCAGTCCTATTGTTAAACCAACTACTATTCGGTTAGTTCTCACAATTGCAATCTCAAAAGGATGGTAGATTCGGCAACTTGATATTCACAATGCCTTCCTCAATGGCTTATTTAGTAAGGTTGTTTACATGCAGCAACCCCTAGGCTTTGTCAACACTGCTTTGCCCACTCATATTTGTCGCCTTCACAAATCTCTCTATGGTTTAAAACAAACACCATGGGCTTGGTATATGTGACTAAGTGATTTCCTCCTAACTATTGGTTTTCGGGCTTTAAAAGTTGATACCTCCCTATTTATTTTGAACGGGACTCCTGATATCTGTTATTTACTTGCTTATGTGGATGATATCTTAATTACTAGTAATAACTCTTAATTGATTCATCGTCTCATTACCTTGCTGAGCTCGGAGTTTAAACTTTGTGACTTGGGTCATGCACATTACTTTTTGGGGATTGAAGTTGCTCCTACCAGTATGAGTCTTGTGCTCAGTTAATACAAGTATTGGAAAAGGTCCAAATTCAGCTTATGGATTTGCTACCAGGTGCTTGGAAATTTTGAAAAATCAGTCATGTCATATTGAGAAGGTAGTTAAGAGGCAAACTACTCAAGAAATTCTAAATAATC